CCCCAAAACCCCAAAACCCCAAAACCCCAAAACCCCGCCCAGAATATAAATATTGAAATTTATTAAGTAAGAAAATTTAGAGAGGAAAATGGAAGAATATGTGAATGTTAAGCAAGAGAATCAGGATGAGGATGAGTATGTTGACGATATTCTGTTAGTCATGAGCCAGGATAAATTAAAATAAAATCCGTGATCCATTTATACTCGACTCATCCCCTCTACACAGGAAGATCTCACAGGCGCTTGGTCAGATAAACAACTTAAATGCTGAAGAAGAACGCACTTGGACGCAACTTTCTGAGAATGTCAAGGCTCTAATGTCTCTACTAGAGTTCAAGATCAACACTTTGAATAAATCTCTGAGTAAAATCAGCAACCAGCAATACAGGATGGAATATGCAGAAAATTTACAGAAAAGGAAGGAAATAGAGCCCAAACAGGAGGAACAAGACGATGGCAACTTCTCATGGAACAAGCTCTGGAAAAAGATTGATACTGTCGGGTCAAAGACACTCCAGAAATCTGAGAGTACTCTTAAAGATGTCAACTCTGTATTTGCAGAATTTTCAGAGTTGCACATGAGTTATGAAACTGCTACCTGCAAACAATTCGGTATGACAAAACCTCGTAGTAAGGATACTAAGTCTGAAGGCAATATCAAGCAAGAGGAACCCATACAGCCTTCTTCGCAAGATGTTGAAGACGGCAAAAACATGAAAAATGAAGTTAAATCTGAGGATGAAGATTCTTTTCTAGATGATCTCCTAACTGACCCTGATGAGTTTAACAAGTTAAAACTCAAAATTAAGAGGCCATGAATCAACATGCTCAAATTTACTAAAACTCAGGGGCATATCTCAAGAGATCTGGACAGATTTATAACTAAAAGAGTTGAAAAAGATCAAGAATATACTGAAATAAACGAAAATTTGATAAAATCTGAAGGATTTGACTTTAACACAACGCAGATGCTCAATAATTCTCAGGATTATGACATGGAAATGGAGCCAGCCCTTCCTCTGAAGAGGAGAGCTGTCAGTAAGATCCAGTCACAGATTGAGAAATTACAAAGAAAGCCAGCTATAAAAGCTAAGAAACGTGTTGTAAAGGAATATGAAAGAATTTGAGTGAGGAACTACAAGATTTTTAATAATAAAGCAGATTCAAATAGAAAAATTGATGAACTGATTAACGAAAGCATATCAATTGCTAGAACCCAGAGAAACCTGAAGCATCAGACAAGCATAGAGATCTCTCATAAGAAGTTAGTCACTTTAAAATAAGAACTTGAACAAAGAAAGGAGTGAATTTTTACGAATTTATTCACAAAAACTGATAAGTTCACACAGAAATCTGAGAATCTTACTAAAGAACTCTCATGAGTTCATTATACCCGACCTACGAGGGATTAAAGATGAGTACAACTCTGATGCGAATTATGACTTTGAGATAAACTCTTCTGATGGACTTGATTCACTTCAAGGGAGCTGAGTAATGTTTGACCCACAAGAAGACCTCCAAAATGAAGATATTCACTTAGATTTATACAAAATAAAAGCTGAAATTGGCTCTGACCCCTCTGCAGGACTGCACAAAAGCAAGATAGAACCTATGGAGAGCAATAATGTTATAGAATTAGGTAAGAATTGATCGTAAATATAGACTCTTGCTCTGACAAGGGATCTCAAGAACAACTTTCTAAGGACCGGAAGACATTAAGAGGTAAGAAAAGAGTCAAAGAAGAGCTAGAAGACCCCTCTGATGACTCAAAGAATGACATCAACAACGATAATGACTTTGATTATTGATTCGATGGCCAGAAAGGAATCGAGAAGTTACCTATTTCAAGGACTATTGATCTTAAGAAGGTAAGACAACCTTACGCCATGAAGAATATTGAGAGTTCATCATTAGGGCACGGAATTTAATCCTTGGGATTTGTCATAAATTCTAAATTACTGTATAGGTTAAATAAAATTATTGCAAAAAATGTAGTATTAGAAATTAAGAAAAAATCTTTTAAAAGAATCAAGACAGAATGTGAGGAAGAAGTCAACAAAAAGAATGTTCCTTCTCAGATGTTTGGCCAGATTTTCAAGAACATGAGGAAGAAGAACCCTTCCCTATCGATCCAATCATTTTTCATTGCAAGTCTTCACTCGATAAAGGAAACTGATATTGCTCTGAAGAACGTTGAAGGTGATGCACAGCTCGACTTTATTGTTAATGAAAAATAATTTTCAATTTTTCAAACATTTAAGGGGTTTTGGGGTTTTGGGGTTTTGGGGTTTTGGGG